TTCCGCTCTTTCTGGAGGTGCAGAGTAGGAGAATGCAGTTTTTCCCAACTCAGTTGAAGCTCGGGGTACATTAAAAAGTAACCACTGAAAGGAGCGCAACTGATAACTACCAGAACTCACAGAGAGGAGGTTACAGAGGTACAGTGGGAGTTTACCAAGTATTGCTTTATAGATAAAGATATACCAGTGCTGTTTTCTACGAATTGTTAGTGATGTCCAACCAACTAGATCATAAAGAATGCAGTGATGAGTAAGGGACTTAGAATTTGTAATGAATCGTAATGATGCGTGGTACACTGAGTCAATATGATGCAAGATGGAGGATGCAGCATGCATGTACAATATTATTTATTATTAGCTTTTAACAAACGAAAAAATGTAGGGGAAGAAGTTAGGCTTACTTTTTCTCAAGAGCATCCATGTACTCCTTCTTCTTCCTGCGACTCTCCTGAGCTGAAATCTAAACAAATTTAAAGCAATATGCAATTTTAATTTACTATTAAATGTTTCTATATCTTACTTGAGGATCTCTGTCCCTGTCTCCTACCTTGTTCTTGATCTTTCTGCGGATCTTCTTAAGTGCCTTTTCTTCAGCTTTAGTGAGCGGCAGTTTGGTAGGAACGGGATAACCTTCGGCCACCAGAGTTCGACGCTCCTCCTCCGTCAGGATTAGCGGCCCAGACCCCTGTAGCTTCTACAGGGAGAAGAAGGGGAATTAAACTGTTGTTGCAGCAAGATGAGGATGACTTTTAAAGCCTCTTTGGCTTTTATAAAACCAGGGAACCTTCTTCTAAAACAGGTTGGAACATAAAGAGGAAGGGATGTCTGTTGGTCTTTATCTGAAAGCTGATATTACAATTTTCTATCAATTTCTGTGTGGATTCTGAAACATAAACCTGCTGAAATACCCATTTAAATATATTCATCTTTCTGGATTTTTATTCTAAGGTGCTATAAACATCTCTATGTGTCTGGATTGATAAGTTTGGAGGGTGCTGTAACTCATACATCTAGAATAAAATGAGGTAAAAATGAGAGAAAACAGACACCAGGATCCTTACATGAGGAGCGGTGAGCAGAGGGGAGTTGGACAAGGAGGAAGCGGCGCGGGGAGACACCTTGACGCTGGGCTGAGATGGAGAGGGGCTGCTGGGGGAGGTGGGGCAGGACAGACTGGGCGGGGCATGAACGGGGCTCTGGCTGCCCTCTGAATCACTGCCGTGGGAGCTGGGAGGAGTGGGGGGCATCTGTGGGGACTCCAGGCCTAAAAAACAATAAACAGCAGAAAATAATTAATTTAAAACTTACATTTTTTTTTAAAGATATAAGAAACACATCAAGAGTTTCTTTAGGATTTTTTATGGAATATAATTATGTAGTTAAGGTTTTCTAGAGGGAAAGGTTTAGTTCATTTTTATCTCAAATGTTTTCTGTTATTTTAAAAATTGCCAGTAGGGGGCGTTGGAGCACCAGATAGCAACATTTAGAGGATAAACACTGGATTCTGACCTTTGGGTGAAAAATTGAGGAACTGATCCACTTCATGTGGCTCCAGCTTGATCTCAGGGATGATTTTCTCCTCCTTAATCTGAAAATAAACAGACAGCGTCAAAAACTGAACAAACTACGACTCCGATTCAAAAATGCACCTTTACTCTCCCACCTTAATGGCTTTGCCTTGGTTGGCTATGTTGGCGACTGCTGCTTGGGAGACGGGGGCCAAAGCGGGACCCTCGGGCCCACGAGGCTCCTCACCGGAGGCCAGAGAGAGCGGAAGAGTAGGGAGCAGAGAAGGAGTCTCACAAAGGAGGCCCTCAATGGCCTCATGCTGCTCCATGGCCCACTCAGAAGAGTCTCCATCTGACTCTGTGGTGGAAAAGCGTCACACAGATCTTATTAATGTAGCGGGTGTGAAAATTGTATTTATACACCAGGTTTTGTCATCCTATAAATATAAACTTGACTGTATTTTAAAGCAAATTAATATAAAAACACAAATAAGCTCATATTTTCTTTTATTTAAGTGATTAATTATAATTTTAGAAATGTTTTACTTTGAATTTGGAAGAGTGGAAAGCTTTTAAAGGCTCTCAGATTTGATCTAATTAGTAAATAGAGTCAACTCTCTGCAAATGTAGGTTTAATTATGTCTAAAGAACGAAGCAGAGAGATCACGACACATTTGAGAAGTTTAAATTAGGACTTAAATCGAAACATTTTCAAATGGAAGGATAGCTTTTATTAGAACTGCAGCCAAGAGGCCTGTTGTAACTTTGGAGGAGCTGCAGAGATGCACAGCTCAGCAGGATGATGACTAGTCATAGAAGACTACCGAGAAATGAGACGAAGAAGGAAAGAAAAAAGTCTGCAAATGTGGGAAAGATGGCACTACATGAAAATCAGCATCAATAGGGAAATATTACCGGGTTTATACATGAATGAGTGACTCTTATTTCATGCTTTTTAATGCTCTTTTAATGCACTTAGAAATAATCTTAATG